GAATGAATGGTACATTATGGTTACCAGGACCATTATCTACAGAGGAGATATATCTTCCTAAACTTGGTATCTCCATTGTACTTGTTTTGAAAGGAGAGCTTGGAAATGTTCTCTCATTGAGACTTCCTGGTCAAACATGGCAAACTAATGTCTCCACAAACAATGACACAGAAGGACCCCAAGACCAAAAGCCAGGAGATATGCCCAAAGTAATGGAGCTTCTCCAGATAAGAAGCCATGAGATTGCCAACAGGAACTCTGGGGGAAGGAACTCCTCATGAAGAAGTGTGGAGGGATCCTCACCAGCCTGAGAGGAGAGCACGGGGAACCATGGAAGAAGTCATTATGCCCAAAGCCTCATGCAAAAGCCTTTTGGAAGGACACCAGATTTGCCCAATCCACTCTCTTTTTTTAATATAAATTTTATTTGGGTTTTCACAAAAACATAATACAAATAAAACATCTGTTTTTGAGAATAGCATGATCCCAGGTTATCACTGCTCCATATAGACACAAACTCAGTTTCATATTCATCTTTGTGTTCTATTCCATATCTTATTTTAACATTTTAAAATTTTCTCCAAAATTTTTCCCCTCCCTTGGTTTTCTCAACTTTATTTTTAATTATCTCATATCTAAGTTCAATTATATATCTTTTTCTAAGTTTCAATGTCCTTCTAATCATTAAATTTATTCTTTTGTTTGTCCTGTTTCAATTTCATTTTATCTTTTCTCATTAAACAAATTTTCCCCTGTAGTTACTAATTGGAGTAAGACACCTTTACATCTTTTAATTTTAAACATTCAACTCTTATTTAAACTTCAATTTATGCCTTTAGAATTATAACTTTCAATATAGTACATAACTTCCAATTGAATTCTGCTTGGTACATTCTTAAAATACACACTATTTTCTTTAAAAAATTATATATATATGACAATAGTAAATAAAACACTCATTCCATTCCAATTCAATTCTATCATTAATATTAGTTGCAATCTTAATGTCTTTAACATTTCTTTTCAATTGAATATCATACTTCCTTGGGAACACTTATAAACTTTCCATAATTAATTCTTTTTTCTCCCATATTTCTCTTCACTTATATTTTTATAAATCATTAATAATAATTAAAATGTTCCCATCCTTTCCTAATTTCATTCTCTCATTCTCTTTATTTCATTTATTTATTAACAAACATTCCATTGCATTACAATAAGTATTTTATCCATCATTTTAATCATACATTGTTTCATATTTTCTAAAATTATTTCTATTTCTAATATAACAATACTATCTTATGTACCTTTGCAGAATCCCTTTTTCAGTTAGATTTTCACCCATTATTTCTAAATAGGCTTATGCTTTCAATCCTTATACATTTTCCCTGTTTCTCTATATCTTGTTTCTGTCTTTTATAACTTCTTTTCCTTTCCTTCTTCTCCCTCTTCTTCTCCCTCCCCTCTTTGCCCTCTTGTCTCTCTACTTCTAATTCTCTCTTCTGTAATCCTCTCTTCTGTTGCTTCCTAATATTATAGTTATTTTTCAAACTATTCTTTTTTGGGGTTGTTTTTTCAAATCTTAAACTTTTCACTCTCTTTCCCCCTTTCCTTTTTCCCCCTATATAAAATAACTTGATCATTAAAGATGGCTTCTTCTTTGTCCCGACCTTCTTGTTCTACAATCATTTCTTGTTGTTTCTCATAGTTCCAGATCTCCATTTCTAAAAATTGAAATACAAAGCCAAAAGAACCTCTTCCTTCTTGTGCATCTTCTTTCTGTTTTTTAAGTTCCATTTTCAGTTCTTCCAAAAGTGATCCCATTTTAAACATTTTTAAACAACCACCTGATTGATTTTAGTCATTGAAGTCCAATAGCCAAAAATCCAAAAATCACCAAGTAATCCAAATAATCCAAAGCTGTTTTTTCTTGCTTCTTTTTTCCACTTTCTCTTCCTGGGGTTCTATTATTTTGTTACAAAGTTTCAGTTAGAATGTATCTTTTAGGAATCTTGTTAAAGTTTCACTGTAAGTTCCTTTTAGTTCCAGGCAGTCTCCTCCATTTTTCCAGATCCCGCCCTTTTATTCTTTCCTTTTCTCTCCTTTCCTTCTTTTAAAGGTTTTTGAGTATCCAAAAGTCTTTATTATCCCTTTGACATTTTATTTTCAGCTTAAATGCCTACTGATGTCAAAGTGGATTTTTGTCAATTTCTTACTTAAATCTCTTAGCTGTCAATATAAGGAAGGGAAGGGGAAAAAAAAGCCAAATCCTTTCCCTTCCCTCTCTCCTTCGATGCTTCAAAATCTTCTTTGGGAACAATGTTATTTTTTATGGTTCCAATTCCAGGGTACCTTACATTGCTGCTTTTTCAGTTCAACCCGGTCAACCAAAACTTTCTCTTCTTATCTTCCTCCTGCACATTCTTTTCTGGTTGAGTTCTTCTTTGAGGTGGCCATTTCTGACCACTGCTGCAACCGCCTTTGGGAAAGGGAGTAATGGCCAGCTGAGGAGGAGAGATGTGGCTCTCCTCGACCCTGCTGGTGGTCTTCCCCCTCTTCACCACCTCTACGGGATGGCTTAGCCCTGAATCCAGCCGGCTCGGGGTGTTCTGGTGGTGAGCATGGATCGAAACAGCACACAATCACGGAATTTGGTCCATTGCCGAAGAAGCTCAAACTGGAAGACTGCCCAATCCACTCTCTAAATCATGTGTTAATGGAGCAAATTTTAGGTGTAAAGAGTCTTTTCAGATCAGTGGAACTCCTAAAGCACCTTTCCCAGACCCATTTGATCTGGGAAAGGTTAAAGTAAAAAGAAAGGAACCAATTTTAAAGAGTTTAAAAGAACCAAATGCAAAAAACCTTACTGGATTTTGGAATAAGAAAGCTAAAAAATGGACTAAAGGGACAGTTAAATGTGGAATATTATGTCATTTAAAATATTTTTTTGAATTTTGTAAACCGGTAGTATATATTTCTGAGAAAGAAGAATGTTTAAATTAGCTAACAGAGATGATTGACTATTTTAAACAAAGAAGTAGAAAAAAAAGGGAAACATAAAATTCTGAGATGACTGTGTACAGAATTAGGAAATGCTGAAAGTAATCCATAAAGTGTTAGGACACATGTCATATATGTTTAAAAATCCCTTTCTCCATTTACTCCCTTTTTATGAATTACACAGTTGAGTAAAGAAAAATGGTTATCACTAAAAGGAGTGAAAATGTTAGAAAGGAGGACAGGATTGTTGGACCAGTCCAGAAGAATATATTTTTTGTGACAGTACATAGAGGAGAATACTATTTCATTATCTAGCACAATAATCACATGTCTATAAAGTTGAAGCATGCACAATAGAAGATAAAATAACAAGTACTCTTACAGAATACTGAACCTTTTTCAGACTTTTAGCTGAAAATGAAAAAAGCTGAAATGATTTTTTAGATTGAACAATTAAGACAGTGTTGAACAAGGGATTAAAAGGATCCTGGTTGCAATTAAGGAGGAATAACAATTGTGATAGTAATTGGGGTAATAAATATCATAAGTCACTATGGGGTAATAAATATCATAAGTCACAAATTATCTTTTTCCCTTCTTTTAACAGTATTGTTTCCTGCACTATTCCTTTTTTCTTTTTTCCCTTCCTTCCTTTTATATATTTATTTTTTCTTTTATTCAAGTAAAAATTCTCAATAAAAACTCTCTCTATAAAAAAAAGAAATGTCCTGTCATTGCTTCCATTCTGAATGGATAACTCCTCCCCAGCTTTGGAATGAAAAGCCAAAGAAAGAGAGCTCAAAGGAATATTGTCTGAAAAGTATAGGAATAAGAAGAACTATGGGAACTATGTGCAGCTGCCTGCCAAGATGAATGAATTCAAATATGTTTTTTCACCTCCTTTTCCAATATTGCCTGGGTCAGCTAGATGTCATGTTCATTTCCCCCCAAGATTTGGCATTACCAAAAATAACTTTCAGAAACTATTATTATCCATGTTTCCTTCTTTCTATCTTTCATCATTAACAGTCAAGTCAATTTTTCAGACTATATGCACATATTATAGTAAGCTTTTGTTTAAAGTACAGTATATTTCAAAGAATATTTTTCTAAGTTGATCTATCCCCCACCCACCCAGCATACTACAAGTCTCATTTATTCTTGGGACTCCAAATAGCCCAAATAGTTTTTTATGGCCATCCTATAGTTTTCATGAATTCTGTATCTAAAAATGCATGTGGCAGGATATTGCCATGACAGTTAGTTGGATATATCAAAGTGATTCTAAGAGGACCACCAAAGGGGTTTGAAGCCATGCAACTCTGGGAAATGTATTACCTCAGTTGCTATGCCTGAAACTTTTTTTCCAGTGGAAATTGAGGCATGAACATCATCTTTTTTTTTGCAGTTTGCCTTAAAATAGCAAGACTGGAATAGATTTCTGGTAAGAATTAAGAGAAATGTCTTAATGGTAAAAGCTCTAATAATGGAATATGGTGCTTTAGCAAGTGCTGGGCTATTTTTTCACTTAAGTATTTAAGCATGAACTTAATTTCAGAAGTGATACATCAGCTGCATTTTGCAATGCATTGCAGGTCCTATATTTAGCAGTAGGTTAGACTAAATGACCTCCAAGCCACTTTACAACAGAGTGATTTTATATAGAATGAAGCTATTCATCTACTTTATCAGAAATCAGTGTCTTATATTTCATCTATTCATAAGCTTTCGCCTCCCTGCTTTCCCTGGAGAAATGTAATCATATACAACTTGCTTTAGTGATTACATTAGAATGGCCGAGCCTGAAAGCATAATTGTGGAAACATTTAGAATGAAATTATATATATTTTATTTTGTACTGATGTTGGCCACCCAAATGTAATTTCTTTCTCTGAATGCATTTCACTAGATTGTTTTTCTTAATGATTCTCTGTGCATTGCCAACATGTTTTCCTTCCTTTGCAGAGTGACAGCCTTTGACATTAAGAAAATTTTTGACAATGAGTTACTGGAACTTGGACAAAAGAAATTGTCTTCAGTACTGCAGACATTTTTTGGTGGACAATAGTGTTTTTCATGGTAAGATGTATATTATTGCTTCAGGTTTTTGTTGTCTCCATTTACTTTCTTCCATTTAAGTACATCTGAAGTAACGGGAGTTCACTCCATTACGTGGTGCTAGGGATTCAAACTGCTGAACTGCCGACATTTCTGATCGACAAGCTCAGCGTCTTAGCCACTTAGCCATCTTGTCCCTATATTCTTTCCATACTGTTTTAAAAAATCACTCACATCCCTTGGTCAACTGAGTAGGAAAACAAACATCAATCCTATTAAGCTAATGGGGTCAAGACTGCTGAGGTAATTCCCTGTTAGGAGAATGAGTGCATACAGGAAGACGTATTTTGAGAGAAGTGTTTGAATAACACACACACAGTACACAGATACACTGTACAGTAAATGTAGGTTTTTACTTCCAGGAAGTTTAAGCAAAGTTCAAGATAAGCGGTCCAAAGTCATTCACAGGTTAAATCAGTCAGTTTTCATCCAGGGATAATCCAAGTAGAAAGTCCAGTGTCAAAAACAGTTCAGTATCAAACTTACATCAAATCCAGTAAATATCAGTCAATTAGAAGAAATGGAGCAACGGCACTACTTTCCAACAGTAGGAAACTCACTCACTTCACTGAGACTCTTCTGAGACTAAGGCTAAGACAAACCAGGTTTCTGGCTCCATCTTATGGCCGTTTGAATAACCACACCCAACTGCAGTTTTTAGCATGCTCTTAAAGAGACAGTACTAAAATGTCTATCCTAGTTTATATATTTCCATCCCAAATAGCTGTTAGGTGACTCACATTCCTAACAAAGACTCTATTGTAATTACATGAATGTAAGTCTAAAATGGACTTACATTTATATGAATGTGCTTCTCAAAGTCCATTTTTGCACTCCTGTCCTTTAAAACTATACTACCTAACATACTATATGTCAGGGGCAAAGAATCAGAACCGTATGCTAAGTTCCAGTTAAGATTTATTGCTCATGCCTTTATATAAGAATCTAGTTAACTGTCAACATTCAATTGGTGCTAGATAAGAGTCAACAGAATCCAGGGAGGGCTGGACTTGGATTGGTTGTGGGAACATAATGACTCCAGACTGATTCTTCTCTTCATTCCACTACATGATATTCCATAACAATCTTGTACATTTAGAAAAAAATGAGAAGCAGTCCTAAAATGAGGACTGTATAATTGTATAATTGTGGGATTGTATAATTGTGGTGCTCCTATAAGAAATACCTGAATAAATTCCTGTATGATAAAGGAAGATACATTAATGAATTCTGCTGAATGTTTATGTAATAGAGTCAAATTTTAAACTACTACTAGAATCAAGGCCTTGCAAGCAGAAGCAAAACCTGAATTTATTGCTTGAAGTTAAATCTACTGAGTAACTCACTAGAGGGCAGCATATGATTTGGAATGAACAATATCATTTATAAATGTTTTCAGTTTACAGCCTAGTCAGAAATCATATACAGTTAGCATTCTCTGGTCTCGAGATACTATTTTTAAGAATTACTTTATTTAAATCAAAGATATAATTTCAAAGAAGGTAATATTTATAAATGGAGAAAAAGAATGACTAAAGTTATACAAATTATGCTCACTATAACATATTAAAAAAATTGACTATACCTAATGAAGTACATTGAATTATTTTATGATATGAAAAAGAATATAAATCTTTGACCTTAATGCCAAAATCTCCACTGTACTATAATTTTTAATGCTCAAAAAAAGAATGAAAAGAAAGAAAAAGTAAGTAGAGAAAAAAAATCCTTACTAAAATAGTATAGATAAATATTTGGCTTCTAACTTCCATCCTCAGTGTATTCCAACTGTTTTACATTGCTTACAATCATGAACTTTAGAAGCGACAGTCTAAACATCTATATTTGCCATGATTTATTGTATATATGTAAATCATTTCTCCTAAATTTAAACTTTGTGTGTGTATGTGCGTGTAATATTTCACTATTGCTCTATATTCTCTAAGTTTTAAGTCCCAGATATTGTCAATCTGTCTTTTTTCCAATGCTGTATAAAGTGTAACCTCCCAGTTGTAACCATATATCTTAATAAATTATAGTGTCATTTATTCATATGATCTGGGATTATATCTATTAAAAATAATTGTGGTTTCATTCAAATTATTAAAATTCTCTAAATGATGCTGTGTATGTCTTGCATTACTAATACAGGTGAGCATAGTTTAAAAGATGTAACAATATCTTTGGGCCTTGGATTGAAATGCTATTTTATTTTTTTACAATTCCTGTTTCAAGTTGAATTTTATTTTCCTATATAACTTGAATTTACCATGAGATATGGTACTGGTTTGGACCAGTTCATGGAAGCTGTAGGAATCAATCAGAGGTGGTATTCAGCAGGTTTTGACCAGTTCTGGAGAAACAGTAGAGGAAATTTTGAGTAGTTCGGAGAACCGGCAAATAGCACCTCTGACTGGAAATTTTACAGCATCCTTCCCCTGCCACGCCCACCAAGACGGGCCAATAGAACTGGTAGTAAAAAAAATTTGAATCCCACCACTGGAATCAATGGCTAGTAGTCTTGATTGCTGTGAAAACAGACTGCTGGGCTAGATGAGAAGAGGGTGTAATCCAGCAGGGCATTGCTTATGTTCTTAGGACTGTACAGCTCAACTTCTTGTAAGCCTTAATTTTGAGTCTACATGCAGTTCTGGGCTGGAAGTTACTTTGATGCTAGAAATGCCTGCTTTTGTTGCAGTTTATTTTCAGTGGTTTTCTGCTAGCTGTATAGTAAAACTAGAATCAAAGTCCTAGTTAAAGACTGTAGATTCATTCAGAAATTCTGAAAAAAAGCACAAGCCTAAAGTGCTACAACTTGAAGTAACAAGAGAGAAGCTTTATTCTCCCTGCTACCTTACTAGGAATAGAGTTGGTAGTCCCAAAGGTGCTTTTTCAAGAGGCAACTGGACTTTTTTGGTTTTTCTTTGAAGATATTTTGCTTTTCATAATGGATGAGAAGAATCTTTGGGACAACCTGGATGACTAAGAATCTCCATAGACAATAGAGTTGGTAGTATTGTCAGTGGATAATATATACCACATACTCTCATTCATTTGTGTCTTCCCATTGTATTAGTTGTGGTTTCAAAGAAAGCTGATTTAGAGAAGTTAGAAGAATTAAAGGCAAATACTATCAAAACTGTCAGACCTGGTAGTTCAGATACGAAGTACAAACCATGAGTACTAACACTACCTTTATTGTTCTCTGTTTCATTTTTTTGTAGCAGAAACCTGATTTCATGTTAATTTTGATATGAATATAAAAATGACTAAAAACTAATATCCATAACTAAAACTAGAATAACTAGAATTACAGTTAGCATGAATTAATTCAAATTCTTATCATCTTGGAAGCATAATATTCACCAGGTTGATGGCAGCAGTAGAGAAGACTGCAGATATGAATGATTAGCATTTCATTTTTGATTGCAAGAGAGTAAAATATGGACAGTTTCTGAAGCAACTAGGGTGGATTCAGGGGATTTTAAAAAATGAGTGGCCTGCCAGTTAGCTGAAAATCTGGAACTTTTCTATATTTTCAAAACATTTTTGCTGCTCTCTAATGAGAGGTTGGTGTGTTTATATGTATATGTGGAGGTGGAAATTCAGGATAAGAAAATTAGAACTTTGGTTTCTTTTCTCAAAGTAGATAATAAGGACCTGTTTTTTCATTACAGATTACAGGTGGCTTTAAGTGATAGGAAGGCAGATTCCAACTGAAAGTTAAAAAAAGAATGAACAGTGAGAGTGGATGCAATAAATCGGAGAAGTAATGAGTTCTCCTTCACTGAACATTTTCACCTAGAGGTTAGATACCCATCTGTCTGAGATGCTTTAATTTGGATTCCTTAGCAAAAGATGGAAAGATGATCTAAATGCCTCAGCAATATGATTCTTTAATTCTACTAAGAATGACTTCTGAATCATACAGTTAGAAAGTCTTGAAAACTGTTATCATTGGGATGGATTACTTCCCTTCCAATTACAATGCTATTCTCTAAAATTAATTTTTTTTTAGTCCATAATCTTCTAAAGAAATAGTGTGTCATAGAATTCTATAGGGACTTGAAATGTATACGTATAAATTAGAATATGTGTGAACTTACACTTAACTCTTGAGTTCCTGCTTGAAAAGAAGCTGGTGGCAAATTCCCTCTATACCAGAATATTTTAATAATTTTAAAATCTGCTAATTGGCCCCAGAGAAGTGCTCCACTCTGGTAGTACTAGTTGTAATTATATAACAGAAATATCCAGCTCCCTGCTATGAACAGGCTTATGGCCAACAATTTTGCAGGCCCAGAATGTCTGGCGGTTGCTAAATTGCAGATGGCTGATCTCTTTGTTTGAATATTGATTTATTTAGAACAATACATTTAGAACCTAATCATTAATAACATTTTGAGTTGTAACTTGTTTTTATATGAGGCTAATGATGCTTGGTTGATTTATTTTTTTCAGTCTCAGTTATGCGAGATCTATCCCAACATTAAGAGGAAAGAGGACACTATTTTTTTCCAGACAGCTAAATTTGTTTTATTGATTCTGGGATTTTGGGGTTGGGACAGAGGTGGTATTCAGCGGGTTCTGACCAGTTCTGGAAAACCAGTAGCAGAAATTTTGTGTAGTTTGGAGAACCGGCAAATACCACCCCTGACTGGCCCCACCCCCATCTATTCTCTGCCTCCCGAGTCCCAGCTGATTAGCTGGGTCTTCTTTTGTTGCCCTGCACAGGAGAACAGAGCCGGAAAGCAGGTTAATGAGGTGAAGAGGGAATAGGATTTTGCAGTATCCTTCCCCTGCCACGCCCACCAAGCCACGCCCACAGAACTGGCAGTTAAAAAAAAATTGAATCCCACCACCGGTGGGGAAACGGGGCTGAAAAGATAATTATTTACCGTTTGTTTGATTCAACCTCACCCGATAGCAAGCTTTTTATGATTGACAAATAAATTTTACAA